AAGTGAAGGCAGCAAATCAATGAATGCTAACTTAAAACATTAGTTTTAAAAAGTTAAAAATTCTGAACGTCAATAAAAATACGGTGGAACAAAGGACCGGTTTTCTACATTTGGTGTGGCCAAGCTAGAAAACTCCATGAGGTTGGAGGAGAATGAGTGTGTGTATTTCTATATATAGATGGTTTCAATTTCCCAGCTGAGCCTCAACGAGTAAGATTTTCTTTACCCACTTGATAGTTTTCTAACCCTCAGAGATTTTCTGGAATTAATGCTACACTCGGGTGAGGGTATGTCAAGAAAAAGTAAGCCCAGATTTGATGTGAAGCTTATGCTCTTTGAATCGTCATCCACACTACCAGTTTGTGTCCGTGCCCACTGACATATTCTTTGAAAAGGAGTTGTTCTGACATTCCAAAACAAAGTAACCAAGAAGCAGAAAAAAAAGGTAAATTTATGAGAATCAAAGAGAGATGCCTTTCATCAAAACTGCCAATGTTCAGAAAAATCTTTGCAGCATGTGTTAAAACAACATTAAGCTTGCATTTTATAAACTTCCCTGCATTCACTTTAAGTGAATTTATACACTGAAAGAAAGACATAACTCACAATAATAGCTTGTTAATACTGAAAGAAGCAAGCTGTGTTTTTAAGAACATTAAGCAGCTGTTTCCAGATGAAGGGAGTCTGTAAATCAGGGTAGATTGGTTTTATCCATGTTTGGTTTTCATTAATTAAGTGTTTTAGGGACCTTATGAAGCTAATGTTTACGACACAACATTGGCTTGCTCACTTCAGCATACACTGCCTTTAACCAGCTTATAATAATAACCTACTTAATAACTAAACAGTTTAACTTGTAACTCTGTGCAGTTGCAATACATTTTTTAGGGAGGAAACTTGTTGTTACAGGTGGAAGCAAAAAATGAACATGCAGAACATTACCTTTAAAACAAAACAGGTGGGATTTTTTATTGGCTATGCATTCAACACCACCTGACTTTTGGAGCTCATTTTGACAAGTGCTCATTTTCAAGTTAAACCATATGTTTGTTACTCATTATATTAACATTTTGATTACAAGAAGGCGGATTTTTGCTTTGGAGTTGATTACAATAAAATTCTGGCGATACTTCCATAGCATTATATGACTTTTTAAAAATAGGTATTTTTCTGACACATGAATAAAAAAGACCTCTCATAAGGAAAAAGTGAAATGATGAAGAGAGTTTCAGGCTTCCAGCCATAATTCTCAATTTGAGTTATGGTTCAGATTCTTAAAGTTTCTGAGCCTCAGTTTACTTAATTTGTCAAACAATACCTCTATTTTAAGGGCACAGAAACAATTAAATGAGCTAATGTAAGTGAAAACACTTTGTAAACTTTAGGGAGACACAATTTTAAAGTATTTTTTCAGGAAAAAACAAAACAGTTGCTATTAAGTCCATTTGGACTCATGACAACCTCCTGTGTTGCAATGCAGAACTGCGTTGATAGGTTTTTCCAGGTTGTGACCTTTGAAGGGCAGTACTAAAAAACAAAAAAATCTACACATGGCCCTCAAACCAAGAGTTTTCATTAAATTTTTAAATGAGGTGTTTAACATCTAACTTTTCAATTAAAAAAAAAATACTCTCTATCTAAATTAAAAATTCAGCATGAATTTTCTTCTGTGCGCTTAGCCTGCTTAGTGACCGATCTGGTTTTAGCTGAGTTCTGAAATTCTAGTTCCCAAATGCACTCTTCAATTCCAGTGGCTGTGATGTTTAAGGGGCAAAGAGTCTGTTATGCTTTTTGTCCTTGAACCAAAAGGGAAAAAAAATCTCTACGAATAATCGTTTTTCAGTAGAGGATTTATTACTGTTTTCCTTTGTGGACAGCTGTATTCTTATCATGTTTGCTTATCCTCATTATTAGAGCTGTTGTTTTCAGAAAGTAGTCTATTACTTCTATCATTCCCTCAAGATTAACTTTAGAGGGCAGGTGGATGGCCTTTCCAGTAAAAAGTCATAATGCATTTGGTAATTGAAACCTGCCAAACTTTGGTAAACCATCAACACAAGAAATGGGGAATACATTTCTTTCCCCCTCCTCCAATGTTAACAATGTGATGGTTTTAAATACATAAATTTAACTAGTTGAAAATGTTACATGAAAATAAAATATTTAGTTACACTTTTCTTTGGCACCCTACCTAACCCCTATTCTGACTTCATTTCAAAAAAATCTGTTGTTATTCGGTACCACTGAGTCAGTTCCAACTCATAGCGATCTTAAGTATAACAGAACAAAATGTTGCTTGGTCCTGTGCCATCCTCACAATAGTTGGTATTTTTGAGACCACTGCCGCAGCCACTGTGGCAATCCATCTCATTGAGGGTCTTCCTCTTTTTCACTGACCCTCTGCATTACCAAGCATGATTTCCTTCTCCAGGGACTGGTCTCTCCTGAACACATATCCAAAGAACATGAGATGAAGTCTTATCATCCTCGCTTCTAAGGAGATTTGTTTGTTCTTCTGGCAGTTAATGTTATATTAAATATTGTTTGCAAACTCCTTAATTCAAACGCATCAATTCTTCTTTGGTCTTCCTTTTTCATTGCCCAGTTTTCCCATGCATATGAGACAACTGAAAAGACCATGGCTTGGGTCAGGTGCACCTTAGTATTAAAGTGATATCTTTCCTTTTCAACAGTTTAAAGAGGTAATTTGCAGCAGATGTGCCCAATGCAATACGTCATTTGATTTCTTGACTGTTGATTCCATGGAGGTTGACTGTGGATCCAAGTAACATGAAATCCCTGACAACTTCAAATTTTTTTCCGTTTATCATGTTGTTGCTTGTTGGTCTA